TCGATAATAGTATCTCTAGTATATAATCATATACTAATTAAATCGTTCTTAAATGATTAAAATGGTTCACTTTGTATATAATAGTAGATTTTAATGTCGAAATCACTTTTTAGATGAAATTTTTATTAAAAAACAAATCATAAATAAAAAAAATATATATTTAAGATTTAGAGGGTGATCGAATGGGAACACTACATATTTGGCTTACTTTCTCTTTATGCTACATAAACATTATTGGCATTGTTTCCAGAAGCTTCTTCAACAATATTTTGTTTAGAATCTTGTGCAGTTCTGGAACATTCTAGTGCAGTTCTGGAACATTCTAGTGCAGTTCTGGAACATTCTAGTGCAGTTCTGGAACATTCTAGTGCAGTTCTGGAACATTCTAGTGCAGTTCTGGTTAAATTAAAGCGCCTCTTCTTCCTGTTTAAATATTAAAAAGTAAAAATCTTTTTAAAAAACTTTTCAAAAGCTTATAAATTTAGCTATTTTAATATGTAAATGCATGGCCAAAGTCACACAAAAAAGTTATATTAGGTTACTAACCGTGTACTTAATTCATAGCAGTCTTCGCCGCTTTCACTAGTTGGAGCTACAAACTCGTCACTATCATAACTGCTTTCTTTATCAAATACCACTCTTTCCATTTTCTGTTGATATTTTACTTAAAACGAAAATAATAACTTTTCAAATTGTTTTTTTTTACTTTCAAATCATTTTTAAAATCTTTTTTTAACTACGCAGCCTGGTTTTAATTATTGATACAAAAATGTTTTATTACAAGTTGTTTAATTTTTAATATTACTGTTATATTTGATTTAACAATTTAAAATAAGTTACTTTGTAAAATAAACGTTCTAAAGTGCACATATATCGACTAACCGTTGTAGATAAGTGAAGAAAAATGAACAAGTATTGACTTACTTTTTGGGGTAGACACTGCAAAATATAGTTAGATCGACTTACCGTAAGGGAATGGCGCGGCAAATTGTACTTGCATTGACTGTGAAAAGTTTGTAAATTTATTAATGCATAAATATCATTATTTTAAAAAAATATTTTAGCTCATAAATCCCCTTTTTATTTTGAATAATAATAGTTATTTCTATGCTAATCGAAACCAGAATTTTGTTTTTCAATGTTACAGGTGTCAATTTGAGTAAAGCTACAGAATGTTATAAAAAAGATTTTTTTTAAATGTCAAATAATAGCTTTAATGATATTTTATTCCTCATCGGTGTCAGAATTTTTTTATATGATTTTTTATCATAATAATTAGTTAATAAAAACCAGCAAGAGATTATGCAGTTATTGTTATTTAGAACCTTGTCAAACTAAATATCATTTAACTAAAGTTGCAGATAGAACTTTGGCACATTAGCAGTTTGCTAGTTTTACGCTATATCGCTGTAAATTTCAGTTTATTTTGTTCATCATGATTAAAATAGTCTAATAAAATGATAAAGTCGATTTTGACAAAAATGTCAATTAGAACCTTGTCAAACCAACGCGACGATTTGGAAAGGCACAATACTCCGCTTGTTTTTTTAATCGTGTAATAAAACTCACTGTACTTTCCCCTTCATTTTGTTTGATCCTCAAAAAGTTCGTATGTTATATTCTTTTTTGGATCCAGTTTGGATCCAGATTTGATCCAGTTTGGATCCAGCTTGGATCCAGATCCAGTTTGGATCCAGATATTGATCCAGTTTGGATCCAGATATTGATCCAGTTTGGATCCAGATATTGATCCAGTTTGGATCCAGTTTGGATCCAGTTTGGATCCAGTTTGGATCCAGATATTGATCCAGTTTGGATCCAGATATTGATCCAGTTTGGATCCAGTTTGGATCCAGATATTGATCCAGTTTGGATCCAGATATTGATCCAGTTTGGATCCAGATATTGATCTAGTTTGGATCCAGTTTGGATCCAGATATTGATCCAGTTTGGATCCAGATATTGATCCAGTTTGGATCCAGATATTGATCCAGTTTGGATCCAGATATTGATCCAGTTTGGATCCAGATATTGATCCAGTTTGGATCCAGATATTGATCCAGTTTGGATCCAGTTTGGATCCAGATCCAGTTTGGATCCAGATCCATTTTGGATCCAGATCCAGTTTGGATCCAGATCCAGTTTGGATCCAGATATTGATCCAGTTTGGATCCAGATATTGATCCAGTTTGGATCCAGATATTGATCCAGTTTGGATCCAGATATTGATCCAGTTTGGATCCAGATATTGATCCAGTTTGGATCCAGTTTGGATCCAGATCCAGTTTGGATCCAGATCCATTTTGGATCCAGATCCATTTTGGATCCCGATCCAGTTTGGATCCAGATATTGATCCAGTTTATCACACACTGCCTTGTATTGATCGGTGTCAGCTCCTTTCAGGGTTTTATAGATTTCTTTTACATCGTTCTCTGCTAGATGCAGAAGTAATGCCTCTTTTTGCGCGTCTTGCATGACTCCAGTTGCAACTAGATATAACTCAAAATCTTTTTTCCATGTTTCCCACCGTTTGTCTAAATTAGTTGTGTCGTTTTGATTAATAATAAACTGTTCTACTCCAAGTAAATTATTAATTATTTTCGCCATAGTTGGATCTTCATCACCAACTGTTGTGTTCTCTATTTTAAATATATATCTACTAACTTTTATTTTATTTGTATTAAAGATTTATTATAATAACATACATATTTACAACTAGTATTATATGAACAAACATAACTCACTACATACTGCAATATCTATGATTAAAGGAAAAGTTTTGGATTGTGAAGTATTATACAAATATTGCAAACAATATTTTTTTGATTACAAAGAAAAAAAAATGCAGACCCTGATACATATAAAATCCTAAAAAATACTCATTTTTGTAAACTCAACTATACTGGCCCATCCACCGGTATGGAGATCGCTGGAGCAAAATCAATTTTTTAACGATCTATTGAAAAGTATAAACTTTACTATACTGAATTTTGTGGTGACGGAGATAGTAAGGCATTTTCATCTGTTGAAAGAATGTATGGTGATATACTAGTTTCAAAATTAGAATGTGTTGGTCACGTAAAAAAAAGAATTGGTACACGATTAAGAAAATTGAAAAAAGAAAGGCGTCTAGATGGTAAAGGAAGACTTACTGATGCTACAGTTGACAGATTGCAAAACTATTATGGAATTGCAGTTAGAACCAAAAATCAGTCTGTTTATGAAATGCGCAGTGCAGTGCAATACTTGCTTCATTGTTTCATGCTGCTTCCTCAAAAGAAAATAATTATCACATCTATTATCCAAACGATGGAAAAAGTTGGTGCCAGCACAAGGTTGATCGAAAACATCCCAATCAACCTTCTCTCTATAAAACTGGCCCTGGTTTGCCACGTGATATTATTGAGTTTCTAAAGACAATTTATAAATAACTTAGCTCTAATGAATTGCTTGCAAAATGTATGCATGAAAAAACTCAGAACCAAATGAGTCTTAACATGATGATATGCGAACAAGTTTCAAAAACTAAATAATGTTCATTGTTACATTTGAAATTAGCAACATATGATGCTATAGCCAACGTTAATTTTGAAAGAAAAGCATCAGTGATGACTAATAAAATGCGTTTGTATCACTCGTCCTTTACAAAGTCTTTATTTGCTAACTTCTATTTTTCAATCTCCCGTCACAGTTATTTCATTTTCTAGTAATCAGTTTTAACCAAACTTTCAGTTGTGATGTGTTTTTATATGATTTATGCAATCTGCCAAAAGTTAATTATAAAACATGTCAGAGTTTGAGATATTGCTGTTTCAGCACTAAAATATTGCTTATTTAAAAACTTCTTAATCCGTGTAGTACATGGAAACTAATAGTCAGATTAAAAAACTTTTAACAGATTGCATGGATCAAACTGTTTTTTATCATTGGGCCAAGTTTTACTTTAAATGCTTTATTAGAATTTGAGATATTTTTGACAGTGCGATGTACATATTTTGACATGCGCGATGCACATAATTTCTTATATCCGCCATTTTAGGTGGTTGTCATGACAACATAACCACCTGTAATTTTATAAATCAATTTTGTTTAATAAGATCTTTCATAGGCTTAATTTTAATTTTGACTATAAGATTTCGCTTCCAAGATAATTTTGAAGGAGGTATACCACTATAAAATAATACATCACACATTGTGGGAGAGTGGTTATTGTACAATTGTTCTAAAGTGATGAAAACTTCGCCAGTCTCGTGATATTAATATTATTGAAAATTTATGGCATAAACTAAACTTAGAAATTCGTAAACATATCATAAATAATAAAAATGATTTAAAACATCTATTGCTGGAAGAGTGGAATAAAATAACCCCTTTTTTACAAACAAATTGGTGGAATCATTTCGTAATAGACTTGAATTAGAGATTAAGTCCAAAGGAAATCCTAGCCGTTATTAATTTTATTTATGATTTTATTTTTTATTTTTTTTGGTTGCATCATTTTCACTGTTTAAATTTGCTTAATAAAAAATAGTATAATTGTAAATTTATTTCATTTTTTCGCATTAATAATATTAAAAGATATGCTCTTTAATATAATGTAGTTTATTTTTAGAAAGATTACGTTAAAGTGATGTTTAATCACAAAAACACGTTTTATCCTGCATCTTTTCACTATGAGTCACTATATATATATATATACATACATATATATATATATATATATATATATATATATATATATATATATATATATATATATATATATATATATATATATATATATATATATATATACACACACAAATATAGTCATAACATTGAGATAAAAAAATACAACTATTTTTTTAATGTAAACTTTTATTTACAAAAATTGCTACAAACATTTTGTATATAAATATATTTAAATACATAAATAATTAAATAAATAAAATAATAATTTAATACGAATATTGTTAACATTTAAACTAAACTATTATTAATATAAACTCGGCTATTTTTAGTGAAAAGTCTGTATTTTTAACTTATTATAAGATATAGTACAAACTATGCATTCGATTGAACAATATTTCTGTAATTGTAGATAATTAATTTCGCAGCATAAATCTTTCCAATGGTCATTTGTTTGGCGTCTAAAGGAATTCATATTTTTTAAGACTGAAAACTGCAAAAGTTTATATGTGCAAGTTTTTCAAAATTATTGAAAAATATAAAAAATTCATAATTTAAAAATGTTAGTTTTAACTTTGATCAGTTGAGAGAGTACTTATATCTGTACCTTTTTAAGCACCTGTACCATTTTAAACATCTGAAACTTTTATCAATATTTGAACCTTTTTTAAACATTTGTACCCTCTTTTAAACACCTGTACCCTTTTTAAACATCTCTACACTTTTTAAACATCTTTTTAACAAAATTTTAGAATTTTTTTAACTTTAAAATAATCTTGTAAATTTATGAAAATAAATAACTCAATGTAAGTACAAATAAATATTTAAAATATATGAATCAAATTACAAATAAATGTTGATTTTAATGAAATTTTATTTATCAAAAGCAAAGTTATTAAACATCATTCAAAATGAAGATTTAACTGAAAAAAAAGTTACAAAACATCAGCTATATCAGTTATTTCAGTTTTGAAAAAAAACTTCTCTGACTTAATAGAGAAAATCAAAAGCTAGGAAAAGTGTTAAAACTCCTTGTTGTTCAAATATTTGGTTGTTCAATGCATGAAAATGTTTGTTGCATGAAATGGATGATTGTAGCTAATTAGAAAAAATAGTTACTTCACGGTAATACGGAAAAATATCTTCAAAGTTGTAAAAAAATCCAAATGGGTTTGAATTTGATCAAAAAAAAAATCAAATTCTTCAGAATGGAATTTTTTTTTTAAAACCAAAAAAAAAAGACTTACTTTTTGGTGGACGAGGAATAAACAAGTCTAAAGTACGTTTCCTTATTTTTGGCCAAATTGCTACCAACATTTTGCGGATTGCATCATCATTACTTTTAAGATTGTCTTTAAAAAAATAGATAATTAAAATATTTTTTTTTATAAAAAATAATTTAAATAACACAATATAATACAGTTTTACAAAATATTTGCCCACTGTATATTTTTTATTGTTTATTTATTAAGTTTCTGCTGTAACTGTTTTTCTGCTGAAACTATTGGAATCATCAACAATTATCAAAATATTTTTAGTGCCAATAAACTGAGTACTAAATAAATCGTCAGTGCTTTAGGAGACATGTTGATAACATACTTCTATTGCAACCTAGGTTTAGATAAGAAATGGGTTACAAAACAGATAATTACTCACTACGTATTCTGCAATGTCACATGAAGAAATTTATATGACTGTGTAATGATATATGTCTTGATAACATGTTGTGTGTTTAATGACTTGAGCATGATGACTGTTTAAAGATCCTTAACACATAGTTTCATTTTACTTACTAGTAGAGGGGATACAAAAACTGTTTTCTGTGCTTATGGAATAGCAGGTCTGATGATGATCATTATAAAAAAGTTCATTGGCCCCCATGAGTGGAACTACAGCAATAATTGTTAAATGTTCTCAGCTTCGAGTAAATTCCCACAAAGTCTTAACACCCCTACTCCATATCCAATTTTTTTTATTAGTAAACTAATTAGTAAAACAGTTTGTAAAGGTTTTAGATTTTTGAGAAGAAGCACAAGAAATTTCATGTTTACAAAGCTATCTGAGACAATGATCAAAGATGACATATTTTTTGGACCCCAAATAAATACAATGTTGAAGTCATTGAAACTTGAAAGAGTTTTGACAAAGGTAGAAAAAATTCATGATTTAGTTCATGGATTCCTATTAAATTGCAAGAATCCCAAAATAACTATAATAATAATCAAAGTTATTTTGACAATATAATAAATAAAATATATATTAATTACACATATTAAAATAGATATCAATTACGCATATCAAAATAGATATTAAAATCAACTGTAGCAAAACTTATTCAAAACTTCAAGAAACTGATCTGTCATATGTTTATAAAGGTTCATCATATTTTTTCCAAGATTTCTTTCCCGAAAACTTGGGTGATGTCAATGAAGAGCATAGTGTGAGATTTCAGCATGATGTTGCAAAAATGAAAATTAATTATCAAGAATAAACTGCTATGATGGGAGATTATACACGGCCTATGTATGAACTTAAGAAAATCCTGATCATTAATGCACTTCTGATCTTAAAGAGAGAGTTATCAAAACATGGAAAAATTGTTAATTTTTTTTTTGTTTTCATAAACATTCTAGTTTTAAATACCTTTCAATATATGAAAGAGGATATAATATTTATAAGTATTTAAGTAAATATTTTGTGAAATAATCCTTACAAAAAATAAGAGCTTAGATATAGTTTGGGAAAAGAAAATATGAAACTAAGCACAGACACTATCAATATCAAACTGAATTTGATTTTTGAATTCAGTTTCAAAAAAACCCATAAAGAAACCTTGAAAAATATGAGTGGGCAAAACGTTTGTTACATTGTGTAGTGAACGAAAGTGAATCATTCTATTAACAAATGAAAGTTACCATTTTTAGAAAGTTACCATTTTTAGAAAGTTAACATTTTTAGAAAGTTACCATTTTTGGTATAAATGTTGAGAGCTGTTCGCACTAAAGCAAAGAAAAAACCATTGAAATCCACGGAACCATCGTCATATAGTATCATATTCATTTGCACTAAACGCTAAAGATGAAAAAAACATGCACTTTTTTCAGGTTATAAAACAACCAGTCATTAAGTTATTGGTTAAAGAACAAAGTTAAATACCTTGTATGCCAAAACCTTTATACAATATGGACCAAGTCCAACAGGGGGCATCATTTCTTTGAGAAGTTGAATAACTTCTGTATGCTTTATTCGACCACTGAATAGAATTAAAACATTTTAAATATTAAATTGTATTGTCCAACAATTATTAACTATATTTGTGTAGAAAACCTGTCCAACTTACAAAAAGAAACACAGAAAACTTAAAAAGAAAAAACAAGTTGATAATTTATGATGCTTATGATAAAAAAAAGTTAAATGATATTAAATATATTGGATTTTGTTCATTTTATAAAATGCATTATTTACACTTTTAGTTTACACAAACTTTTAGTTGAAACAAAACAACTTTTAACTTTTAAAAACTTTTAATTTACACACTTTTTAATTTAGACATTAAAACTTGTTTATGCAACTTTTTGTTTACACAAATAATTTTTAGTTTACACAAAATAACTTTCTTTTAAAATATTTATTACATCATTTTAAGAAAATCTTTTATTTCAAGTATTAGTTTTTTATAGGTCACTGCAGTCAGTGACAAATTGAGGTTTAGGGTTGTGTATGCGTGGGGGTGGGGACAAGGGAAGGAGTAGGGAGCGAAAAGAGTTAAAGTAGGTAGATTAACCCCTAGAAACATTTTTTTCTTGAATTGGACTTGCGATAAATATATTTTATCAATGCTTTTAGGGACTATCCATTAATTATATCATTAAAATAGGGGGGAGGAAGTCTAAATTTTTTTGACTAATTCGAGGGGGGGGGGGGGGAAGATCAAGACAAGCTAATGACAACAATGCTAATTTTTAAAACAAATTTAATTACTTAAAAAAAGGAAAATTAGGTAGCGTTTGTAGACCTGCGTTACACACTCCATCAATCTTCAGTGTTTTAGTAACTTATGTTAAGCTACTTATGTTCCAAATTTTTGTAATTTACAAAGACCCAAGACATACAGAACTAAAGACATACAGAACTTGTAACACTATTATTTTTTCAAAGTTGTTGTTGGTGAGTCTGTTGTGCAACCAAAAAAGATTTATGCAAGTGCATTGTCTACATTATTTAAATATTTATAACAGAAGTCGGCAACCTGCAGCTTGCAAGTGTGATTCATTTGATATCAAGATGCAGTTCTTTAGCTCCATACACAAGTATTTGAATAAATTATATAATGTTTAAATAAAGATATTGGTTGCTTTATAAACTGAAAAATTTTGTAACTTGTAACTTTTGGCTCTTCCGACTCAACAAATTGCTGATGTCTGGTTTATACAATTTTTTAATTTCTTTTTTTGTTATACTAAAATCTATTAAAAATAATTAGCTTTTACTGTGTAATTCGATTATGTCTAAGTTTAAAGTGGGGAAGATTGGCACATTCACAGATTGTTGACTCTGCACTGTACATAAATTATGATAAATATTGAACACTATCATCACATTTAATTTATTTAGTATATAAAGCAAAACAAAAATATTAAGAAAAAAATATAAAAAATGAATTTAAAAAAAGTAATAGTAATAATTTATTTTTATTAAAGGTAATTGATTATTTAACAAAAATAATCAATTACCTATAAGAAACAAATTTCTAAAAAAAAAAAATTTAAGTAAATGGAAAATAAATCGAGGAAAAGGATAAAAAAACAGAAGCAAAAAAACTTATAAATCAAAAAAAATAAAATTGATTTTTAAGGGGAAAGGGGTTGTAAAGTTTTAGGGAGGTGGGGTTTCTGGAAGTTTGGCAAGTTGTTGAAAAGGGGAAGCGGGAGGTAAAAATTGCCAAAAAATGTTGACATAATTAATGGACAGTGCCTTTTATCATAACTATTAAGTATGCCTAGTACACTAAAAAACTTAAGTTTCAATTTGCTAAATTTACTTTGCTTAACAATTATCGCCAACAAAAAAAATAAAAAATTAATTTTATTGCAATAGTTTGCTTAATTAAAAATATATTTACACTATTTACATATTATTGAAAGCAAGTTTTACGAAAATAGTTAAAATTGTTTTTTCATTGGTCAATAAAGTTTAAAATTGTTTTTTCATTGGTCAATAAAGTTTAAAATTGTTTTTTCATTGGTCAATAAAGTTTAAAATTGTTTTTTCATTGGTCAAAGTTTTAAACAATTTTATGATCTAATTCAGATTTTATAATAAATTTTTTTT